TGTTTGTTTTTAATGATTTTTTTTCTTTACAAACAATTTAAAACCTGAAAAATTTCTAATCTGCCTCAATTTCCAATTGAGGTTTTAAATTCCACAGTGGGCTTTTAGAAACCTATAAAACCAGGCCTTAAGGAACATCCAGCTCCCTCTTTAAGTCAGGATCATCCCTATCTAAACCATCCTAGACAACTGTTGGTCTGACCTACTCATAAAAAATTCCAAGGATGGAGATTTTACAGCTTTTCTAGGTAGACTATTCTAGTGTTTAACTGTACTCAGAAAGTTCTTCCCAATATTGAGACTAAACTTCCAGTTTGTGTTTTCTTTTCCAATCATAGCTTTAAAGGAAAACTTGGGTGGGGCATAGAACTGTACTCAAATAGTGGATCTGAATATAATGAGTATAGGCATAAGATTATGAGGAGCTGGAATGCTGGTTGTTTATCTCCAAAATCTCAGGTACTTACCTACTGAGGTAAGACCATTTCCCTTACCTGATGGTGGTAGAAGGCCTTTTTTCTTCCATTTGGTTCAGCTAATAAGGGTAGGGACAGAAATTACAAGCAAACTGGAATCAGTGATTGGAAATCAGTTTAAATCTATAACACAACAGAAGTTCAGTGTACATAAACCGCTTCCAACATGGCCAAACCTGGTTTAAAATTGTGGCAGGACAGTAGTGGGCGCTTCTATGCTGAGCCACCCACCTCACTACCAGACTATAACCCCACTTTGGATGTTTCCCCTGGGGTGCCTACATCCAGCTGACTCACTTCTTGGAGCACACCTGCAAGCCTGGGGCAATTGCTGTCACCACCTGGTCTCCAGTCTCCGTTAGGGCTCGGTGCCACCCAGGGTACACAGCTCCTGTAGACCTTGTGGGTCCACCCAGATATATCCAACAGGATATATCTGGGTGCTTCTTATAGCCTGAAGCATTAACAGTAGCCTTCCTTAGTCAGCTGAGCAAGGGAGCTAAAATGCTTACCTAATCCCTTTCAAGTAGGTACAACAAGGCTTGCTATAATGGAAAGCATTATTGAGTGGAGAGGGTAGGCATGGAGAGGGGTACAGACCAGAGAAGGAGTAAAAGAAAAACCTTGAACAAACAGAAGTGGCTTGGTAGCTTTTTGATACACTTCTAGATCAATTCATCCTAAGTTACTAGCTAAAATTCAAGTAGGTTACTCACATTTACACCCAGAGTCTGACCAAGCTCTTTCAATAGAGGCTGTATGGCTTGTTTGCTGTGTTCCAAAATATGTCTGCCCCCCTTCCTCATCAAGGGACCCGTTATACACCTGTCATGACCCCATCACTAAGTTCCAACCAGAAGCAGCCCGATTGGCAGGAACCTGAGACAATAGAGGAGCAGGTTCCCCCTTCCATTGGGATTTTTACACCCTAGCCAGTCACATAGTTAGGTAACAGAGGGCAGGGGGTAGGGGGAGGCTGTCTGCTTATAGCAGTGAGGCAGACTGGGGGGTGACATTCTCCACAAAGATAAACCTGGATGGATGCAGTATCAACTTCACTGATTTAGGCTAAATTGGTTTATTGAATGTCTGTTCCAGATCCCCTCCAGATTTAAGTTAATTCAGTCCCCCAGCATCCCAAGATGCTTTGCATGTTCCCCACAAACCCCCACCCCCTCACAGGCTAGCCTTGGCCCTAGCTGTCTGCTTCAGTGGAGTGGGGAGGTATGCTCTAGTGCCTCCTGGCTTTTGGTCTGGGCCACTTCAGGCATGTGGCTGCATTTCCAGAATCCAAATGAATGTCTATTCACTTGCTAATTGGTTCAATCTGGGCAGCTTAGACGAACCTGCAAAGACTGAATTGATTCAGTGTTGGGCTTTTTGACTGTCTTTATTTAGCCTAAAAGACAATTAAAATCACCACGTTTAATACATTCTTGTTGGTCTGGTTAGAGACAGATATTCAAAACAACACCTTGCGATTTGATCTATATTCTTATGGGGTACCTACATGCCATTAGCTAATACTACATTGGTTGCACACCAAAGGGACATAAAATTAAGTTGTTTGAAATGACTCACAACTGTTTTAGAATTTTTTCTTGAAGCAGTCATTTTGGTTTTTAAATCTTTAAATTCCCCTATGGCTTTTTCCTAAGTAGATCTTGTTGGTGACTTAGTAAAGTTCAAGAATACCATAAGTAAACCATACTTTTGGTTTCTCAAGGTAGTAAAAGCTGAAAAGCCTCTTTCTAACTGTAAAAGAATCTTAAATAATGTGACAGAAAGGTATGAGTAATGCACACTATTAAAAATCTGATTTGCTTTTGGGAACAAAATGACAGTATAAATTGTGCAGCAAGCAGCTGTATCTTAAAAGTCTGCAATGAGAAATGAAACTAAGCTCTTTATCACTTGGTTGTGAACATTTATAAGGGATTTTGGCCGCTTGAGACTGGCTAAATAATAATAAAAAACAAACAAACCAGTGCCATGGATCGTGGCATGAATATGTTGAAATAAGGTACTTTGATACTATTTTTAAAGTGATTGGAAATTATCTTGAAAGAAAATCACAATGCAATTGCACAAAAAATTCTATTGGCTCATGATGATAAATAATGTGACAAATGTTAATCTGGCTTATCAACACAGACATGGAAGAGTAACGTGTGGTGTATGCATTTATGTGAATTTGGCATGTTGTGAGTTTTATAAAGGGTGAACATTGTCAAAGACAAAAATCAAGGATGACAAAGTTGTTTGTTTATTTTAATCTAGTCCTGTTAAAAAATGGAAGGAACAGTACAATGTTTGGTAAAATTAATCATCAATCTACTCTTCTTCCTGCTGGGGGGTTGTACAGTTCAGTAGGGCTAGGGACAGACACTTAAAAAGGCTGAGTCTGAATTGACTCAATCTTTTCAGGTTAGTCTAACCTACCTAGATTGAATCAGTTTGCAACTTCATAAACATTCCCTCCTAGGCTGAAGAAATGCAGGCACATGACTGAACTGGATCAGGCTAGAAGCTGGGGTCACTACAGCAGCCCACCCTTCCCTTTCACTGTCCTGAGCTGAGACGGGTGGTGGTGACCAGACCCTGGCCAGACCTCTGATAAGGGAGGGATTTAAACCCCCACCTTGGCCTGCACAGTCCCTGGCTTTTCCCCACTTGCTGCTCAAGGGGTGAATGTACTGCCAGACCCCAGCCCTTGGCTAGCACTCTGAGGCAAAAGAAGGGCATGAGTGTGCAGTGCATGCATCTGTTGATGATACTGACCTTTTCATTTTCCCTCACCCTGCTTCTTCATACTGTCTGAAAACCTGACAGAAAAGGGAGCCAGCAGGGAGCTCATAACACAGCATTTATCTGCCCATCACCAAAAAAACCCTCTCTTGTTAGTTCAAGCTTTTTTTACACACTCACACACATACACACACACACACACACACACACACACA